TCATTAATAATTCATGAAGAAAACACAAAGAAAAATCATAAGCGTGTCGTATCGGTATATGTGAAACAGATTCATGTTGATTTACATAAACTTTAACTTTGAGTTTCTCGGCTTAGACAACATTTAGTTTTACAATTACTTCGCCAATGAACTTATAAGATGAGTCGTTTTCTCGCCTTCGGCTCGAGTTTGTATATCCGATACAACACGGCCGCTCATGTCATAAATAGTACGTATAATCTCTTTAGATTGTATACAATTGTAAATCTCACTTATATAAGGGAGGCTGCTCAAAAATCGTGTGTTTTACAAATATATTCTAATTTCGTAATAATAATAATAGGTCAATAGTTATATATTCACCCTGGCAATATTTTAGGTACGTTTTATACGCCGAATTTCGGTGACGTCGAATGCGATTAAGACAATAGGCAATTGATAATAATGAGATGATAAAACTCATTAAGCTTCTTCCTTTATTTACATGAGCATAGGAACCGGGGGAGCAGGAGGGGGGCTAGGTCCTCCACGTTTTGCCAAGTGCTATTTTTCCTGGAGCAAAGTTCCCTTTTCTTGCGTGAAAAATGTTTTAAGGATAGCCTCTTTTTGCCCAAAGGGCACTTTTCAAAACTTGAATTTATGTTATTTTCCGAAAAATTTGTTTCATTTCAGGGAAAGATATGATATGTCCGAAAAATTTTTTGGTATTTCCGGAAATTTTTTTTTCATATTTAGGAAAATTGGATATATCGGGAAAAATTTTTTGAGTATGTCCGCAAAAAAATTTTGAGACCTCCCCCCCCGTCGCCAACTTTTCTGGGAAAAAATTTTTAGATGCCCTTTTTTTTTCGGAAAGTGCCCCTCAAAGCCTGCTCCGCCCAACTTTTAGAAGCTTCCTACGCCCCTGCTTCATTATTACCTATTGTCTTCACGCGACCGAAATTCAATGTAGGCTTACCGAGTTACGCATCGTTACGTTCAGCAAAGTGCTAGGCCATTCAAATTCTAATAATAACAATAGATTATTTCAATACAGGGTATATAAAAAAACAAGGGAGGTTTAGTAGAAGTCCCTCCAGATTGCCTTATGATTGTGGGATGAACACTTCTCATATAATACGCACGCGCAGAAACACATCCGCGTGTTCATTATTTTTAGGCATGCGCATAAACCGAATTTTCTCCCACAATTGAAATGTTCAAGATTGCGGAATAAAAACTAGCAAAGGAATTGTTCGAATGTGTGCGATACTGTCCATAGTTGTGCCGATGATTTTTGACGAGGTGCAGCTCCCCAATGAGAGGTTAATGAGGTACGCTTTTCTTCTAAATTAAATAAATTTCCATCAACAATTATGGAGGGGAAAATTAGAAGACAAAGAAATCTTTGGTTTTCAACTAAATTTTCAGTGGAAGTTTAGAAAGGAAATTTAGAAGACAAAAGCGTATGCACAGGAAATGAGGGAAATACGTGATTAAACGTCTCTTTGGGTTGTAGGTGCCTGGAAATATGAAATCGAATTGCTAATAGATCATATTATGGTTGTTGTACTGTACTTGTAAAATAAAAACGTATTAAGTGTCATTTAATAAATGCATAAATTTTTGTTTATGCACTCGCGTTTATACACCGTATGTAGGCTGTATGGGCGGAGGTATATGCAGTCTCTGAGTGCCCTCTAGTTTTATAATGTGATTATGATTGTTACGGATAATTAGGCAGCCAGCTATTCAGTAAATTGTCACTTGTGAATTCAATCCATTCTCATTGAATTTTAAAAACTTTATTGTGTTCATATGAAGCAAAAGTTCTGTCAGCTGTCGTTTGTACTTGCCAATGTTAACTGTTGAGTAACATGTATATTCCTGTAGCAAAGAGATCAATCATATATCGAAGACCACTGAATAATAGAGAATGTTTTGAAGGTCATGAGTGAAGTATATGATTCAATTCCAGTCCCGTGCAAAGTTAATGATATACCACACTCTCAGGTACATTAATGCCTGGGTCTGAGTTTGTGTATTTAGCGAAAATAAACAAAAAATCATAAAAAGTATGGCCTTAATTATTACCATTCAAGTTTTATATGATTTATCAAAGGAGATTCTAAAAGTTGACCTACTTTTCGTTGTCATGGCAACCATCACGTGATGTATATTTCGAAAAACAACACAAAAAATGATACTTTTTATTCAGAGGCTCTGCAGCAGTATATTTCGTGACTGAGAGGACGCAGAATTGCGATAATCATTCACACAAAATATCACTGTTTAATGAATAAATTCGGAAAGTTTACATTTAGGCTTCGTTTCATTATTTTATGCGGCTATATTACGATGATCGGCATCAAACGAATGTTAATCGCGTCATTAAATGTTATCTACAAATAAATGTACGGTTTCCAAATTATCGCAGGAAACTTTGTTCCCTTGTTAATGTTTTTAGCTAACAAAAATAGGAAAATTTCGTCAAATTACCCTGCTGCAAGTCGAACGCGTTTTTCGCGTGATGAATTTCACGCGCCATAATGAAATATTATATTTCCAATAACAAGATTCATTGGTGCGCATTCAAGCCGATATCTTGAAGCATAGTTAATGCTTGAAGGGAAGTATGCCATGGTGGAAAAGACCGAGTGAACTATATGTGCTATTAATTTGTAATTCATAAGCAATTTTTCATTGAAAATAGGAAACAGTCAACAATTAATACTGAATAGTCGCAAGATAGCGCACTATAAGAAGCTTTTATTTATCAGCAGTTCAAAGGTCAGCTGTTGCAAATGATACAATACATATTGCCATACAAAGAGCCAATTATTACATCAAAACTGAATAGTATACCGACTTTTTTGCATTGTATATTCCAAAATAATCCTGTCGCTCATATATACTATATTTTGATTTGAAGCAAATGCCCAAATTCACTAAAATACTCACACAAGGGGCGAATATTCTAACAGACACATTACTGACACGTGGGCAGACCCAGGCATTAACATGCCTGAGCTGTTCAGCTTAACACAGCATATCCACACAAAAACAATTTGTGTTGTGGGAGAATATCAGTTTGAGTAGAAGGTATCACAAGTTTAGTTTTGTACATTGTGTGCCATTGATCTGATCCATGCATATAATATAGGATTATTGTAGCTGTTAAGTTATTTTCCATACTTATGAATTGAGATAAGATTGTCTTGTAAGTGGGTTGTTCTGACAAGGTTATCCAGCCAATATCCAGCCAAAATCCAGCTCATTCATCATTCTTGTATTAATCTCTAAACAAAAACATTTATGTTAGAAAGCAAAATGACAATGTAATGAGGAGGGTGGGTTGGGACTCTTTTATTAGCATTTGAAAACGTTTGTAAAAATTTTGTTTAATTAGTAATGTGTAAACGCAAAACGTATAAGTATTTTAACTGATAACATCTTAACCTTTGGTGTAAAGTTTCCTGTGATATTGTTCATTGGCAATATAATGCCTGCTATGTTACGACTGTTTAATATATTACACAATGATTGTTTTGCAGTATTACTGTCTGTATAAATGTATATAATAAAATATGTGGTATTTGACTACTTACCAGATGAGGATAAGTTTCCATGTTGATAGATAACTTCGGAATATAAATATCGCAAGTGTAATGGTAAAAATAAGACAAAATCAAGATATTTTTAAGCCAAAATGCCAGAATGTGAAAATGGCAAAGAATAACACGAGGCCAAACTATGCCCGTTCGCAGGTTAGATGCGGGCACACGATGTAAACAATTGATGTAACCTAATCGCTGATTGGCTTAAATTGACTGAATTATAGAAGCTCGTCGGTGAATGGCTATCTGCTAACACACGGTACGGTACGTTTGCGACAGCAATATATCTGCTTCGCAGGTAAAAAAACTGATTCATGAAGTAAGTGATTGTGAACACAGTTGCCTACACGAGGATGCCAGGCAAAAAATCACACCATTTTAAAATGCACATATTAATTGTAAAACACAATGCTTCATATTATAGCGATATTGCAAAGGAGTGCTAAATTTCTAAATCGTCAAGTCACAGAATATGTAGTACACAAACAAACGAGCAAATACAAAAGTATGCAAGAAAAAGGGAAGGCCAAGAAAGCTCAACTCAAGAAATGTACGATCATTGATAAGCACGCTAAAAGTCCTGCGACTGCGTGAACCGAATGTTTCCGTTAAGTCCCTAGTAATCGGAAAAATGGTCTCAGTTTAGACGCTGTTAGTCGACGGATAGTTTCACGTTTTCTAAATGAGAATGGCTATGGTTTTCTCCAGAGACGAAAGAAAGGTATTCTGTCAGACAGAGACAGTGTACTGAGGCGACAATTTTGTAGAAAAGTGAAGAGGTTCATGAAACGAAATGCAAGCTTTTGGACGAATGAAGTGTCATCCTATATGGATGGTGTATCGTTTATACACGAGTTCAATCCAATGAGGACCGCGACAACCACTGGGATGGCTAGATTTTGGCAAAAAAAAAGGGAGAGAGGCTAATTTTAACCGGCAAAGGAAGCAAAGACTTGCCAGGTGGTCGTAGAGTTCGTATCATGGTTGCTATTGCTCATGGAAAAGATGTTATTGTTGCAATACCACAGTAGAAAATGAACGGGAAATTCCTTGCAAACTTTATCACAAACAATTTCAACATTTGCTATACTAAGGCCGGCCCTAAACATGGCGGGAAACGTCTATTTGTGATCGACAACGATCATTTGCAAAGCAGTAAAGCTGCAATGAATGCACTGCGTAGTGTTGAAAGCGAGTTGCTCAAGATTCCTGCTCGGTCACCGGATTTAAATCCAATTGAAAATATATTTCATTCGGTAAAGTCTATTTTTTGTGAAGAGGCTATTAACAAGCGCATAGAAGTTGAAGATTTCTCACAATTTCAGGAAAGAG